CAACTGATTTTATAAATAGCATAGCAAGACAGTTTTTCCGATGGGACAAAAAGCTCATGTTGCTTCCAGTTCACTGTGCACTTCTCCACAAGGTATTTATTTAGCAACTTACGGAGGAGGCGAAGGAGCCCATTGCCAGGTAGAAGAAACAGAACAGTAGACATCAGTAGACCAAACCCCACTCCCCACAACCCTCAGCTCCTCCCCGACACACATAGTGACCCAGGGTGTGTTAGATTTGTGAAATCACCTACAGAGCCTCACTTTCCACCCGGGCAAGTTGGAAATCTTAATCCTTGGGGCCATTCCACACTTTTGATTAGGGAACATACAAGAAAATGCCTCGCTCCACTCTAGTGTAAAGACTCCTTTTCCATGCAACTCAACGGGGACAAGTACCTCCCACCAGAAGACTAAAAATGGCAAAAGACATTAGTACGTTTCTTTTCCTCTTTTAATAGTGTTTTAGCCCTAATTAACCTGATCTGTAAGGGAAAACATAACATAAACTTGCACTTTTTTTTACACGGGATGCATAAATAAGCAAACACACACACACACTCGCTGGCTCACTCCACTGCATAAAATCAGTCTTGTAAAATGAACATACTGGCCACAGCCCAAAATAAGAAGATAAACAAACATCATCTACTGACACCAGCAGCTCAGTTTCTTAAAGCCAAATTAACAAATTAAAAGCAAATAAACAAATATTTGCCTGGAATTCATTATAGTCAACACACTCAGCCAAGTTGTCACCATAATTAGGCATGAAAAAAAAAAACACACAAAAAACACACACAAGACAACTATCCACTCATCTTGTCTCCAAAACAAAGGGTGAAATTCTAGAGACCTGACAAGAATAAAATGTCTCTGCTAACTGATGGTGTAGAGGAAACCTGAAGAAACTGTGGTCCTATTTCTCCCTGAACTCACATTTGACTCGGGTCATGCAGATGACTATATTCTACCCTTTAGGAATTAAAATACATCCAGTCAAGATGCCAGCAGCTGCCTATTCCAGTTACTAGGCGAGAAGGTGTCAATTAAGAAATACAAGTAACCTTGTTTGAAATACTAGATATTCTGGAACAACACTGTGAGTAATTTTTTTATAACCGTAAAGAGTTTAATGTTTCAAACATAATAAACCACGGCAATGCTTTTAAAATCTCATATCAACACTACAGACTACAAAGGCCTAAGCCATAAAAAACGGAATTTCCAAGAAAGCTTTCAAAGAAAAACCAGGTTTTGCAGTAAGGTGCTCTCACGCTCTACCCTGAGATAACGTAGGTCAGGCTGCCCTCTAGTGCCGGATGTAAGAAAATGAATTCTGCCCATCAAGGGAGACATGGTTTACATTTAAAATAGAAGTCATCTTTTAATTTCTGAATGACTTACTACTGACCTGGGATTTACGTTACCCGTGTATTAAGATCGGATAGAACTGAAAAGGGGCTACGGTGATTGACGACAAAGGTCAACTAGGAAGGGGCAGACACGGCGAACGACACAGGGACACGGATCACATCTATAAGACCCTGTTCAACTCAAGTTGCAATCAAAATAAGTAGGGAATGTCAGTGCAGCTGAAAATGTGCAGTTCTTTAATACATTCAATACGGTTCCCAAAATACACCTTAGGAGGAAAGAATAAAAAACAGAGATGGCTGAGAGGAAGGAAGGTAAAAAGACAAAAAAGAAAACTGGCTTTTGCCACTGTAAGGCCTTACACTAGTTGATTCAGATTTTACCCAAACAGCTAATTTATCGGGTTATGAAAGATCAGTAGACAATAAAGAATCGCATTATATAGACAACTAAACTAGGTAAACTTCAGGCAACCCCACACGGGTTCAAAATGGAGAACAATCTAGTCCTGCAGTGTGGAGCAATGAAACCTTCTTGCAAATCAGGTCTCTGGAATGGATCAACTGCAGAGAAACTTTGCTACTGAGAGGAAACCTGCACTTCCTAGATTTCCTTTGCCCTTCTCCTTAAATCCAAGTAAGGGAACTTGAGACTTCAGCAGGGCAGCCAGTGGGTGTTTCAGGAACATGCCCTGAAGGCCTGGTTCTCTGCATTAAGTGCAAAGCATCCCCTACTGATGAACAAAAGGCATGAGGATCTGGGAGGAAAAATTAGGAGGGAGACATCACATCAGGGTGGGTGCACCCATGAATGACTGCTGTACCCAGATCGGGGGCACTGAGAATATTCTGCAGAGGCAGGAACTGAAGATGGGCATGGAAGGGGGCTCTGGCGAGTCCTCCACAGACGCAAGGCGGGTTGTGGTTCGGGCAGATCTGGTGGGCTTCTGCCTGGAGCTTCTGGTATCTGTACCAGTCACCACCCAAGTCTAGCTCGATGGAAACTCAAGACAGTCCCAAACTTACAATGGTTGGACTTAACGACTTTTCGACTTGCTATAGTTTTCAACTTTACGATGGTGAGAAAGCTGTACAATTCAGTAGCATCCATACTCCAAATACTGAATTTTGATTTTTTTCCCCTAGGCTAGCGATATACAATACAATACTCTTTCGTGATGCTGGGCAGCAGCAGTGAGATGATTTTGCACAACTGCAGGCTAACGTGAGTGTTCTGAGCACGTTTAAGGTGGGCCAGGCTAAGCTCTGATGTTTGGCAGGTTAGTTATAGTAAATGCATTTTCGACTTACGATAGTTTCAACTTACATGGGTTTATTGAAGGTAACCCTGTAAGTGGAGGAGCATCTGTACACACTGACAAAAGGCCTAACTGTCCCCTCAGGTTTCTAAAATCAGGGAGGTCATCAGGATGCTGAGCTCACAGGAAACTTACTGACCCCTGGGTCTCCCTGACAGTGTGCTCTGAATGACAAAGTGCTGAGAAGAGAAAGCTATGCCTCCCATCTCCAGGCCGCTCAGAGGACACACTGTAACGCAGGGGGAGCAACACTATGCTGGGCACTTGCATACCTTTAACGGAACTTAAAAATTGAGCATGTCTACCTCTCTACTCTAGGCAGGAATTTTTTAAAATATTATATAACCACTGAAGTACACAGAGTGAATCACATCAGCTATGAGGCATAATTCACAGTCTTGGCTTGTTCTTCCTATTGTAAGAAGTACAAAAATTTTACCCAAATGGAAATTTTAAATCTACCATGTAAAAACATTTCTTTAATTAAAAGTACCTTTTAATCTACCACTACAAGAGTAAATAATTCATGGCCCCTCAACGTTATGGGCAAGCTAGGCCTATCTTTGGAGTATTTACTGGGGCTTCTATTTTCTTGAAGGACTGAAGTCCTGCCCACAGATATAGGAGGGGGAGGCAAGATAAGCGCCTCTGTGCTGCTCTGAGATTAGCGACCTCGCAGATTGAGAACTCGGTCCCAAATCCGTGAATAATAAGGAAACCAGCACATGGAGCACCACAGGTCTCGAATGTGAAGAGTCTGGTTAACTGCGGTCGCAAGCATTCAGAGGCTGTGATAACAGAAATGCAGTCCCACTTAATGCTCCAAACTTCATGACTGTAGTTTTCAAATTAACTGGCAAAGTAGAGTGACTCTACGGCTGTAATAGTACATAAATAGCCCAATCACTTTCTAACTACAGCTATAATGAGACTGTAGATGTGTGTGGGCCTCTGCAGTTTACAATTCCTTGTGCTTTCGCAGTGCCTGCACTAAACATTTGTTGACTAAATCCACACAAGATGCTTTCCTGAAGTTTTATTTAATCCTCACAACAATCCTGTGAAGCAGGGAGGGCAGCCGTAGTTAGACCCATTTTACAGGTGAGGAAGTCCTAAGATGTTGTCATATCCTGAGCACTGTGAATGTATCAACCTGTTTAATTCCCACAATATCTTAACAAGGTAGGCGTGACCAGCATCCTCATTTCACAGAGGAGAAAACCCACAGAGAAATTAAGTAACTAGCACATAAGTGTTACTGTAACTATAACCAGCTCTTACTTAGTAACGAATACCAGGACTGAAGCCAGGCAGCTGGCTCCAGTGTCCATACTTTTAGCTATGACGACATCCTGCCCAATAGCATCCACGTGCTCTGGCCTGGGTAACATAGCAAGTTGATGGCCAGACCAAAATGACTCCTGTGCTCCTTCCACCCCACCTTCCTGCCTCCACAGGTTCTATCGATTAATACTGTATCTGCAAAGACAAAGCCACTGAGGATCTCACCACAAGTCTAACCAACTGAACAGAGTGGGGATGTCTGTTGATGATCTATCTCTTCATAGGTACCCAGGTCAGGAGGCTACCATCAGAAACAAGACAAGTCAAAGGCCTCTGGGCAGAGGCATCCACCACTTGGAAACCACCAGGTACCGTCCTATCAAGACACTTACTAGTGATAACCCACCTGGCAGGTACAGCCAAGCCTCGAATATGTAACCAAAAGTCTACTTTAAAACTATAGAGTTAATAACTTTCATTGAAGAGGCTGTTTGCATTTTATCCACTTTGCATTTTAATTTATTTTTCATGACCATTCTAGGTAAACACCATAGAGCACGTGCAAGGGCTCTGGTTTAGAAACGGATGGGCAGCGAAGGATACATACAGCCTGTCTCGTGTGGAGCGATTTGCAAGAAGGTCCTTCCTAAAGGATGGCCCAGCTTCACATTATGCAAAACAGCCAATGTTTAGGCAGCTGGTCAACTATATTTAAATATGCTTGCACTGAATGTCCAACGTTTCCTACACCACACAACAAATGGCTTCCTAAGTCATTCTGCAAAGTAAACATTCATTTATCTTTCCACAGACACACAGTGGAATGAAAGCTTGTATGCCCCTCTGCACAGATTTTCTCTGGGAGGAAAGCTCCTGTCAGTGACGCTTTTTGTAGAAAACGAATCAACATGCAGAGTGATCTCATTTCAAGCGCAGCCTCCACGTTCAAACACTGACACGCAATCAGACATTAAATGAGTTAATAAGACATATTTACCAAGAAACTCGGTGTCTGACTTACCTACTGGGTTTCTATCAAAGAACAATACCGGAGCTTTCAAAATGGACTCAAACATTTTGTTGTGTAAACTTTGTGAAGACTTAACGAGGACGTGGAATACCAACAGAGATCTTGCTATGCCGAAAACGACGGTAGCTGCAGTTAAACCTGAAATGAAGAAACATCGCTCAGCACAGGGTCTCTGCACTTTTTTTTTTAAAAAAAAAAAAGAACTTTAAAATATATTTTTATTGATTTTTTTTAGAGAGAGAGAGGAAGGAGAGGGATAGAGATAGAAATATCATCGATTGGCTGCCTCCTGCACGCCCCTTACTGGGGATCAATCCCGCAACCCAGGCAGGTGCCCTTGACCAGGAATTGAACCCGAGGCCCTCCGGTGCTCGAGCTAACACTCTAACCACTGAGCCATACGGGCCAGGGCTAAATTATATCTTTTATTAATGACATAAATGAATACCCACTGTGCACACAAAAGTTAAAACAGGTCCCCTAACATCTCAACTCACAATGCTAAATAAAGTGGGGATAACTTCTTTTATTTTAAATCCTCACCGGAGGATATTTTTTCCATTGCTTTTCAAAGAGAGTGGAAGGGAGAGAGAGACAAAGAGAAACATCGATGTGAAAGAGACACATCAGTTGGTTGCCTTCTGCACACACCCAACAGGGATCGAGCCTGCAACCGAGGTACATGCCCTTGGCCGGAACTGAACCCCGGACCCTTCAGTCCGAGGGCTGACGCTCTAACCACTGAGCAAAACCAGCCAGGGCTGGGGATAACTTCTGTAATAAATATTCTATAAAGTACTTTTACCCCCTTCAGATAACACCACTTTTTTTTAAACTCTGAAAGCTGGTCGAATTCCTAAATTCCACCAAAAGGCATTTTCCATAGCCCAGCACCCCACATGAATATATGTAGAACCATTTCCCTTCTTCCTTTAGGTCGCCCACTGTCTACCAATTCAGAAAGTAAACAGCTAATGGGTTTAGATTTCTTAGCAAGTGATCAATGAAATAAATACCACATTTCAATGAGTGAGTTCTTAAAAACAGAACTCATTCTATGTTTGAGGAAAGCTTTGTATGAGTGTTTCCTATGGGGATACTTAAAATTTTAGACGAGCATTTCCTTTAGAAAGTATGGAATGCTACATATATTCTAAGCACTCTTGTGAAAACAGAGCGCTGTGTTATATCAGTCTGGCGAGCCGAATGCTAAATTACTCACACAGTTGGGAAGGCGATAACATTGTGATCTCAAGGTAAGAAAGAGAAGGCAGCCTAATTCCCAGACACTGGGCTTCTCCCTGCTTAGCTTCCCTCTTAAGTAATTAGTGAAGCCCAGGAGATGAGCAGCGTGGTGAAGGGAGCTTTGCATACCTGCGAGGGAATAATGCTTTTATTTGGGGAGCCTTGCTGCCAGAGGATTTCATCCAAGTTCAACAAAAGCCAGGGCTTATTCACACAGAATTGGAACAATCCGAACCAGAGGGTGGGGATCCGTTTCTAATCCCCTTGCCCATCCATATAATAATATAAGATTTACTGAAAGTAACCTATTAGAATAGACAATAGCCACATATTTCCAGTGGCTGATTTTCTGAATGCTCAATCCCAGTTTAACTTTCAAAATCCAGTACAGAGCAAATTAAGAGTCTTCACTGAACCTCTTTCTTCTAGATTTTTAAAAATAATTATTCTAATTAATTCACAGAGTAAATGTGACTCAGACCCTTAATCTGTTAAGGCATTAATGAATTACTCCTGGAAGCCTAGTTACTCACACAGGCTCATTGGAAGCACCTCAGACTCTCCTAGAACAGATCAAATGATTACACTTTACCTGAGTAAATTCCCAAGTACCAGTTAAGATCGAGCTTCTCAGTTACATTTCCTTTTCCATTTACGGTGACGTTCAGGGCGCTCTGTTCATTTGCCCTATGGAACAGGGAAGAAAACATTAAGCTATAGATAAAACTTAGATAAATACAAAAAACAACCACTTATCCTCGACTCGGGAGGCATGTTTTATGCTGGAAGATGACTCCTGGCTCACAGGGTGCTGTGGACATATGTCTACCTTTTAAAAATTATACTTGAATCGTGACTTTGAGTTCTCAAAATTGTCTTTGAAGATGCTGCTGAGGATCAGATATGGGTAGAGACCAGGGGAGGGAGACACTCTACCAGCAAGAATGTTCATTTTTCTTCAGGGAAACTATGTGAGGATTAGAAATGGACAAGCAAACCCCTCTGCTCCCCCAACTCTGCGGGAAAGTGAGGCTTCAGGTCAATTTTTTTTTTTTTTTTGGTTAATCTTCACCCAAGGATATTTTTTCAATTGATTTTTAGAGAGTGGGAGGGTGGGAAGGAGTGGGAAAGAGAGAGAAACATTGATGTGAGAGAGACACATCAATTGGTTGCTTCCCACACACATCCTGACAAGGGCTGGGGATCCAACCTGCAACCCAGGTATGTGCTCCAGACTGGGAAGCGAACCCACAACCCTTTGGTACATGGCCGATGATCTAACCACTGAGCACACGGGCCAGAGTTTCATGTTGATTTTAGAGCACCTTACGGCCAGACCAGAAATAACTCACCAGTATGACAGCCACCAATCCTGAAGAACGTAGGAAACCTAGGGCAGGGAAACAAACACACTCAAAGATCAAACACTAACATTACTTACCAACTCAGAAACTGTCACTCTCTAAAATGGATAACTGAAAGGCCCCAGGAAACGGAAATGGTCCTTTCAGCTCAGGTCAAGGTTGTGCCAAGCCCAAAAATCCCAGATAACAATAGGTCAAATACGTGCATATTACATTTTTAAATCTTTAAAAGACATCCTAGAAGTTCCTTGTAATGTACACGCAACACCAGTAAGCATCACTTATTTTGATCCCCACAAACAGCACGTTTCAATGCAAATCCAAGTGGACTGCGAAATACAGTAATACAGTATAAATAAATACAGTATAAACAAAAATGTTACTGTAACTATCAAGCTGAGAGCACAAAACAAAACAAATATCCCTATTTACCTGGGCCACAATGTTTACTAGAATAAGGAAAATGATGATAAACCAGTGAGCACCGGCTATAAAGTAGTTCTTGTAGGCCTTAAGACCAACTTTTCCTTCAGAACGGCTCTCCTCGCTTACTGCAACCTGCACATTCTCAACCTGGAAGGAAGAAAGGGAGTGAGAGACAAAACCTTAAGTAACCCCAAAATTTCAAACGTTCAACAATGCACTCCACTGGCAAAGTCGAGGGAAAACACGCACATCTCACATACCGGTAGAAGCGCAAAATGGTAAACTCCTACCGATACCAAAGATCTAGCCATACCACACATGCACTTGCCCTTGGCCCCAGGAATCCCACTTCCAGGAATCTTTAGAAATGAAGGAGTGTCATTTACACGAGGTTATTTTATCATTGCTATGTGGCTTTTGCCTAACCTCGTGATTTCCAGCATGTGTACAATGCACCCAGTTCAAGTATAAAGGCAGAAGCACGTTCCAAAATAATACACAAAATGATAGGGAGCCAATGTATCACTCTAGACCATTTGTGACACTCAACAATGGAAACATAAAACATAGTAGGCACTCAAAATATTAGTCAAACACAGTAAACTGCGTCCAAACAGTGAGATGGAACAATGAGAGTCTGAATAACAAGGGAGAGCATATGATCCAAATCACATTGGTTCCTGAATTTGAGAGAGGGATTCCTGAGTATCACACGTGAGAGACTAATCTGAATACTTGAATCATGCAGGCTCCTAGACTTGGATCAGGGGGTTCGGATATCGAGGAATACCAGTGTATATGTTTAAGGGAGATCTGGTGCATTTCTGCATTTCTGTCTGGAAGACCTAGAACGTGTTATAGATTCACATGAGCCAAAGATGTCCTTGGTTGTGCTGGCCCCTGGGGATTCAGAGATGGATGAGATGTGGTTCTAGGTCTTGAAGGGTAAGAAAGGAAGATGGGAGGTAACTTTAAAGGGTCCACTGTGTGCTGGGTCCTTTGCGCATGCTCCTTCTGGCTTATCACAAACCATCTGACAATGGGGCAAAATAATACCATCGAGTCACCTATGGTGCCAGAACATTCCAACATATAAGAAAAGTAGCTGATTTAGAGTGAGCCAAGGCAGGATGCAGTCTGAGGGGGTCTTCAAATTAAGCCTCTGGGTGCTAGAAGCCTGGGACCACCCAAGCAAGTAGGATGTACTTGTGATAAATTCAAGAGTTCTAATATCAATCGGTATGCGCCACACATACCTAGGAATTTATACCAGTACGTGTGCTACTGATGTCCACAAGATTCTCCACCCCATACCCAGAGGAGAACCCCAATCGGGCTTACTCCCTTCATTCTGTTTTAATTCTACAAAGTCCGTGGATTAAGGTCTTGGGACCTCAGGATCTGCTTTGCGACAAATGAAGGAGTCATGAACAGAGCAGAATGAAGATCCATGAGGCCACTAGGAGCAGACAGAACCAGGGCATGCTGCGAGATGAGGAGCTCACCGGTTGGCTCTCTGGGGCACCATCTTTCAACGAAGCTCTAGAAGACTGCTGAGACCAAATGGAAGACTCCGAGAAGGTCCGGTGCCTCAGCTTGGGACTTCCCGAGATGGAAGCCTGCTCCACCTCATCATTGTCCTTCTTCAAAAGGGAACCAAAATCCACCCCCGATTTCAGAAACTCAGTGTAAGTCCCCTTTTGCACCATTTTACCCTACAATAAAAATAATAATAATAATGTGAGATTAATACATTTGCATTTGGTAATACTAATACTAATCGAGGAAAGTTAACTGGTCTTAAATTATGATTTCCATAAGAAAACTATCCTTTGGTCTGGAATGCTGGTTGGCAAACCTAATTCGAGTCAACGTTAACACAGAACTGAGCATTCTATTCTCTGCTGAACCCCGTGTTCAGTGCTGGGCGATATAAAGGGAATGGGTAAATCAGGGGGGAAAATGGAGGTCACTGACATAACTACCACGGTCATATAAGGAAGCCAAAAGTATAGATGCTGGTGGGAATATCCGTAGTCTTTTTAGATAATGTGGAAATTGAGATAAGTCTCATGTAATAAGCAGAATTTAAAAGAATATAGTCAACTGGGGAGGATATTCCAGGAAAACAAAACAAAACAAAACAAAACTTAAGATTGACACCGGTGTGAACAAGCACTCCTGCATAGGTAAATGTCACTCATCAAATCTTTGGGGACGACTATCATAGTGCCACGTGCCCCGCTGGGATGAGGCCTATGGGAACTAGCCCTGCACACGGAACCTACAGGCTGAATCTTCATGGTCTTTACTCTAAAACTGCCCCCCAAAACTCAGGAAGTCCCCAACTAAAAGTTCAATATTCCATGTGTTAAAGTAATTAAACAAAGAGGCCATTAGCCTGGGGTGGCTCTAATGCCTTAGTAGCCTATGCAAGGAAACCAAACCCAACCCAGGCTCAACGCACTCCAACCCGAGAGGGTGAAACAAGAACGAACACAGGCAGCCAACTAGGCTTTCCCAAATCAGGCAACTGCTCGAGTTAGAGCCAATCAAATAATGTTTTTTGAACACTTGTGATACCTCATTACATAGTTTCCCATCCTTACAAAGTTACATAAAATAACGTGTGGATGTGAAACTATTTTCTCACCCTGTGGAACAAGTCTCAGCTGATTTACTCAATGATAAACAAAATATTAGGCAAAATTCCAGGACGCAAAGCCAATCGAATGAGAGCAGCCCTGGTTAAGGCAGCTTGGAGGGAAAATGGCCCAGCCCTCCTGGTACCCCTCTCATCCCACCCCCCTCCACAGGGGGTCCACTGAGAAAAACCCAGCAAAGCTTTGGAGAACCATCTGACACTGCAGAATTAGAAAATTGTTCATGATATACCGTGTCTTGTTCCACTTGGGAAGCAAAATCCATACATCTTATTTAATGAAATTACTGCTTTCTACTTAGTACTTTGTGAGATGCACAGGGAAACAGCTAGTGGGAGAGAGAGAGAGATTTTACTCAGCAGCCAAGCACTGGCAATTCCAAGAGGGGGCAAGAGGGCAGCCAGCCCCTGTGCTGCGAAAGGAACCAAATGAGCTATCAGGACGAACCCATCTCATCCAGGGGTGCTTACCAGTGGACAAATGTTTTAGTAGTATTAATGCTGAGGGTGATGTCCTCAAAAGAAGCAATAAGGGAAGCCCCAGAACATCCAGGGACTAATTCAAAAGGTCTTCTCTTACCCCAATTCTCTGCTCACAACACTGCCACACTGTGGTTATAGACACTAGTTTCACCCTCCTGCCTACGAACTCAATTGTTCTCAAGTTGGAGGAGTCTGAGCTCCTTATCCCTGGAGGAGTGCTGAAGAGTCAACACATGGAACTAGCTTTCTATCATCTTTCTTAGGGCAGAAATCCCAAGGGCCTGTTGGCACAGAAGAGGGTTAACGCTGAAGGTGCTGAGGCACAGAGGCCAACCAGCCAAGGAATGATGTGTTGACCACTAAGCCTTAAAAACTCTCACCCACGTCCACCCCACCAACCATGCTAGCTGTTGTGGGTTAAATGGTGGTCCTTAAAAGATAAGTTCAAGTCCTAAACATGATACCTGTGAATGTGACCTCATTTGGAAACAGAGTCTTTATAGATGTAATCAAGTTATGAGGTCATACTGGAAAAAGATGGGTCCTAAATCCAATATGACTGATGTCCGTATAAAGAGAAGAGAAAGAAGAGACTCAGAGAGACACAGGGATGACACCATGTGACAATGGAGGCAGAGACTGAAATGCTATTATCTGCAAGCCAGCAACCGCCAAGGATGGCCAGTAAAGCTTCAGAAGCTGAAAGAGGCAGGAAGGATCCTCCCTAGAGCCTTCAGGGATAGCACAGCCCCGCCAGCACCTTGACTTCAAACTGCAGCCTCCAGGACGGTGAAATTTAATTTGTTTTAAGCCATCCACTTTGTGTACTTTGTTGTGGAGATCTAGAAACTAATACAACACTAGCCTAAGCCCACCATTCTGTCTTCTGAACTTCACTAAGACTTATTGTTTCTGTTGGTGCCCCTCCAGTGAACATCAAGAGGGATCTTTTAAAGTCACACATCAGACCACATGCTCCTCTGCTCTGGACCAATGGCTTCCATCGCACTCCGGGCCTGCTGTCTGCCACTCTTAGCCCATGTCCATGCTCACTTAGCCTCAGCCACACTGGCCTTCCTGCTCTTCCTTCCAGGTCAGTTCCTTCCTCAGGACCCTGTCACTGGATCTCCCATCTCAGATGCCCCTCCCCCAGGTGACTACATGGTCAACACCTTCATGTCACTCAGGTCCCATGAGGCACCACCTCCTTGGGGAAGGCAGTCATGATATCAGTCCCCATCCTCTATCGCTTTCATCACATCTATCCCCATAAGGATGGAAGCCCCATGATGGCAGGGACCTACTTGTCTTGCAGCTGCACAGGTTCTACATGTATCAGGCATGCAGAAAGCCCTGTGCTGTGAGACTAGCAACCAACCAGGAGCATGGGTGTCTCTAACCAGGGGGTGCTTGGCTACTCAATCACACTTCCATTATTAATGGAAGACACTCGTTTAGGGAAACTGCATATAACAATCAAATTAGTGCTATCTAATTTCCAAATAACATACTTTAACTTAAATTGTGGAAGAGGAAAACAATAAGTTCTAAATAAAAGTAGCATCATTATCCTTAACAATTTCATTAAAACAGTTATAATTTAGTAAGTGAGGTAGAAATTTTATATACCTTAGGGTACATGGCTTAGGATTAATAGTGACATTTCTACGTGTCTTTGGATTCATCCTCAAAGGCATGGGCAGAAGCTCTGAGAAGAAAGTGACGGAAAACTGAGGAGGAAGAGGCAGTTTACCAGGAACGCAAAGACAGCAACCTGCTGGGAGGCTCTGCCTTCAACACACCTGAGAGTCAGCAAGCTCCACAGACTTCCAGAAATTACTTACATCTTTCAATATCAGAATCTGACTCGCAGCTTTTAGGTACTGCAACTGGTGAGTCACTAAGATTGTGATCTTCTCGTGCAAGGTTTGACAAATACACCTACAAATGTAAGAGGTACAGTATGCAAAAACACATTAATGGGTGCTTCAAATTGAAAAATATACATTTGGAAAACATAAGGAGACAAAGACAACACAGTAGTCAAAGATTTATGGTTTAAATACTAATATAAATACAAATTAAATAAAAACATAAATCAATGAAGCCAACCAGGTTCTCAAATTCACCAGCAGCAAACCTGAGTCTAGCTCCACAAAGAAATTCTAAAAAGCAGTCCGGTGTAGGAGGGAGCTACTGCTAAATGTTGTTGTTCCCCCCTCCCTGAGCAAAAAACTCAGCTTAACAATTATTTACATATTTCACATTGAAAAACAACTGAGCAATACCAAGATTCCAAAACCTGACTGAACCAAATACTAATTATTTTATCACTGTGTAGGAGTAGGAGGAAGAGAGAGCTATGTCATATAAAAAATGTGCACATTTTTCTTAGTTTTCTGGGTGATTATTTATGATTTGTGGTGTACATAGTAAGCAGAAGAAAAAAGTCATAGAGTCTCATTAACCTTTGCCAGAGTGTATTTTTTAGACACTTCTTCCTAAATAATACTAGAGAGAAAGTAAATGCTAGTGCATCCTCGATCAGTCCCTACAATATTCCCAGGCCCGTCTGGGAAGCACATCTTTTGTTAGGACTGAAAACCTGCTGAACATGAAAATGGAAGAACAGAACCCGAATGGCCCAAATCACAGTGGAAATTACCCAGCAGCTCAAAGGACACACCAGTTCTCTTGGTGAAGGGCCTCAGTCTTCTACCTTGGAGTTGTTTTTGTTTTGGTTGTGTGTGTGTGTGTGTGTGTGTTTACAGTAAGCCCTCAAAGTGCTCCTACATGTAAATGCAGACCCCCTAGGAACTCAGCCCTGGCTGCAACCTACAATGGTCGCAACCCCTCCAGGTAAGCGAGTAGCTGGTGCCAGGTCCCAGTGACCACAGGCAGGGCTCTGGGGACACATTCTGGTTGCCTGAGTGACACACTGAGCAAATCTCAGGAATGTGGCCACAATTCAACCTCCTGAGGTGGGTCAGATCAAGAGCTTGGAGGCACCGGACTGGAGTTCAAATCCCTGCCCTGCGCTACCTTTTATTAACCCAACAAAGTCAGGAGAGCTGCTAAACCTTTCTGAACCTCAGTTTCTTCACCTCAAAATAAGGCTAATGTCAACTCATAAACATGTTCTGATCCTCTTAGTAAATGTTAGCTCCATTCTCCCCTCCTCCTGTACCTAAGTGGCCATCCGCTTTGGAGTCAGGATAGAGAAGTCCTAAGAGGACACTTTTGAGACTGGGCCTGTGACCAAAAGCAAGACTCCAGGTTGTAGATGCATATACTGCCATTTCATTCTCCAAGTCCAAAAGGGTTACTGTTTCCCTTTTGATATGTCTTCGTTTGGCTCTTTTCAAGCTTAGTACTAAAGCTTTTAATGGAATTATTTCGCCTTAATTCAAAACTACCTGCCATTAATCCCTGAAGGCACATGTTAATCAAATCTGAAGGGATGCTATGTCCGAGATGGGTCAACTTAGAAGATTTAAAATCTTTTCCTCCTACCATTTCATCATCGATGAGGTAATATAATTACAATGATATTATCAGTTGATGGCTTAAAATTTTTCCTAAATTCTGCTTTTTATTAAAAAAAGTAAAAATCTCCAAGTCAGGCCGTAAGAAAATGACTGATTTAGCAATGAGCTGTTTAACTCTTATCCAATGTAAAGACTGTGTTAAGAGGTATCACATATCACGGTGGAGGTGATACAAATAAGACAGTCACAACCTTCATTCATTCAATCGACAAACATTTGTTGAGAGGCCAGGCACTGTTCTAAGTGCTAAGGATACATGCACTAGTCAAAAGAGCAGAACATACTCTGAATCACATAGAGGGAGACACTAAATGAGGGTAGAAATGCACGACAGGGTCGCGATGCGTGCTTCAGAGAAGCAGGTGAGGGTTGCTATCTTAGTTGGAGGTGACACGTGAGGCATGAAAATATCTGGGAAACATCCTGGAAGAAGGTACATCAGGGGCAGTGGTTCTGGGACAGAAACAGGCTGTGTAAAAGTGCCGTCACATAGTCACAGTTCAGTGGGGGTTGGGGGATGTGAAATGGTCAAGTACAACCCACTGAGGGCCGTGGGAAGATGGGAAGCACACAGTTCCCCTGGAGGGACAGGAGGGACGGGAAGGCGGTGGCGGTGTCCTTCATCTTTCTTCTTTGGCCTGCACACTGTCCCCTGGCTCTTGGACAGAAGGAACAGTATCTGTACAGACAGATATGAGAAAGGGCTACATGCAGGGCACTCCACAAACGCCGGCATGGCTGGGATATGTCCTGAGGTTGTGCGAGGAAATGCTGGAAAGGCGAATGGGGGCAGAACGCAAAGAACCTGGTTCTCCATTTCAGGACGTTGATCTGCATCCTGAACGTGAGGGCCGGCCAGTGAGGGCCTAAGCAGGGAGGGTGAACTGAGAGGACAGCAGTGGGGAGATCTGATGAGGACAGGCCTGAAGAACTCATCATGCAGGAGGTGGGGGTCTGGTGACGTGGGGCTTTCGAAAACACAACAGGGATCCGTGGCTAGAAACAGGTCTGACTGACATCTGTTAATCTAAGGGTCCCTAACCTTCTGTATGTGACAGAATCCACTTAATGTTTACAACATATAGCTGTAAAACTCACAGACCTTAATAACCTTGGGTATATATTCATGACTGAAGTAAACTGTTAATGGCAAGTAAAAGTGTAATTCATTCACTTTTAATACAAAACCCTTCACATTACCAAGCTTCGACATAACCGCCATCTTTCATTGCATATTGTTCAATCCAATTTTCTAACTCATTGAGAACATTCTCCAGCTGCTGCTGAGTGATTTTCTAAATTGCATTCGTGCTCCCTGCCCTAAGTTTCCTTAAAGAACGTGGTTCTGATTAGCAAACAACAATTTAACAAGCTTGCTTCTATCGAGAGAATATCCAAAGTCATTAAACCCGAAAGGTGCGAGGGGACTTTATAAATACCTGTGTTTGAAGAACCTGGGAGAGCTCTTGTGATAAGCACATTGATACCTGGCAATTAAAAGCCCTCCTCTTTCTGCCTAGTGACAGAAATGCAAGGGCCAGCAGAAACTATTCTTGAAGTGATGGAGAACTTGTGCAGGCACACAAGTCAGGGTGACAGACATGTGGGAGTTCAAGGTGGGGTCCTGGGAAGAGGGAGGCTGGGCTACCGTACATGCGACTGAGGATGGCGGAGTGGGGAAACTCGGTATAAGCCACAAGGCACTTCTCTGCCTAAGGGAAAATTCATCAAGTCACAATCTGGAAGGCATGGGAGAGAGGTGAGATCAGACAGCTGGAGCCCATGTCAAGGTCAGATGGCCCTGCTCTCTGTAGTCTGAAAAATTCAATGTAATATGCACTTTTTTTCATTGTGATAAAATTTATATAAAATAAAATTTAACATTTTAACCATCACCACCATCCATCTCCAGAACTCTTCCTCACACCAGTAAATAAGCACATTTTACATGCACACCCTGTGCAGAAATGTTAGGGGACCTGTCCAGCAACCCATGCTTAGTGGGTGACCTCAAATCCCAGCTCCAAGTGTCCAGGCTCAGAGGTGTCTCACAGTCTCACTCTCACACTGCTGACTCTGCTCAAATCTCTTTACTTCACTATATAGGACCTGTTGTAAATTAATTGTCATTCCACTGCCCCCCTCCCCCAAATTCTCATGTTGATGCCTTCACTTCCTCTACCTTATAATCTGGTGATAGGACCTTTAAAGTGGTGATAAAGTTAAAATGAGGCCATGAGGGTGGGCCCTAATCCAATCTGGTTTCCTTAGAAGAAGAGCAGGTTAGGATATAAGAGAGCCTTGGGGCGGGGAGAGAGCGGGGCAGGTGAACAGATGAAAGATCACAAGAGGACAAAGCAGGAAGACAGCCATCCACAAGCTAAGGAGAGAGGCCTCAGGAGAAACCAACCCTGCCGACACTTTGACCTTGGACTTCTAGCCTCCAGAACTGTAAGAAAATAAGTTTCTGTTGTTTAAGCCCCCAGTCTGTGATACTTTGTTCTGGCAGCCTGCTATAGACCGAATGTTTGTGCCCTCCGATAATTCATACACTGAAACCTAATCCCTACTGGGATGGTATTTGGAAGTGAGGCCTTTGGGAGGCGATTAGGTCATGAGGGCGGAGCCCTCACGAATGGAATCTGTGCCCTTACAGAAGAGATCAGAGACAGCTGCCTTTCCCCTTCCACCATGTGAGGACACAGCAAGATGGTGAACCCAGTAGCAGGCTGTCACCAGACACCAAACCTGCCTTGATCTTCCAGCCCTCAGATCTGAGAGAAACACATTTCTGTCCTTTATAAGCCGCCCAGTCAATGGTATTGTTATAGCAGCCTGAAGAGACACAGCCCTAGCAAACTAACACAGGACCTAATTTCCAAATAGCTTTCCCTTTGCCGCATGACCTGGATCCTCCACTGGAGGAGGGCGGGCTGCCGTTCCTTTCACACATCTTGCTTCTTCCCACCTCTATGCCTTTGCTTCTGCTGGTCCCTTTAACAAAAGGAACTGAATCCTGTTCTCAGTCTCCACACACCCATCCCAGCCTGCAGGACCCGGCACTTCCTGCCAAGCCCAGTCCACAGAGAGCTTTCCAATCTAAGCTGAACGCCTAGAGCTGCCGCTTCTATTTCCTTTTAGCATTTGTCATTCTTTATCAAAGCTGTTTAAGCCTTGAGGGTGAACTTTTCCCATGCATTTGTCTTTTGAAAAACTCTAAGTAGAAATAAATTCCTTAGGGGCCAAAACGAGATCGAAACTTCTTCATCTCCCTTTTTCTGCCCAGTGTGGGTCCTTACCCTCTCTGGCTTACTTTCCTCCTTTGTAAACTAAGATGTTTCATACAATGACATTTGTAAGAGCCTCTATCTCAGTGCACACAGTAGGGCTTCAATAAGTACAACTGAAAGGGCTCACTGGCTTTAGCAGGGTAAACAGCAGCAAGGTAACTGTGGAGCAGATGTGGAGGGTGCTTTAGCAAGAGAAAGTTCCCGCTTTCGCAAAGGCCAGCCCAGCCTGCACAAGAAGCGCCATTCAGTGCACATTAGCTTACAGTATACACGAAAAAGAGTCAGACTGCTCTAGTTCCGTGGCTCAGCAGCTAAGCAAAAGCCAAAGAAAACAAATTCCAGAAACACAAAGCGAGAGGCAGGAGTTAAGCCAGATTCTAGATTCCTACTTTCAAATTCAAGTTAACCTTACATTTGTGGGTATTAATTCATGGACCAATGTTAAATGATTGAAGCTATACTCTGCTCTGAAGCAAATCATTTGTAAATTCTAGACTTTACCAACTATTTCCAACCTAAACAATTATAGGCATGAGGCAAGGAGGTCTTTCCATGGACCTCATCTCTGAATCACAACAGTGTTCAACGATTCAGATGATGTTCACTCCAAGAGCCAATGAAATGTCCCAGGAACAGTGCTTCACACAGTGCCCCGTTGGTGCTGAAAACGTCACTTCTAATATGCCAAAACCAGTGATGGGGGGAAAGGACTGGAAACCAAGTACCAAGTCACTGAGTCCAACCTTAGATTTAAAATCTGTACATCGTCATTCTTACTCCGGGATCCGACCCATCAACAGTGTCTTGGCTATCAAATGCGTGTGTGGGGGCACATGGTGGGTAGGGAACTTGCAAAATTTGCCATTTATTTCTTAACTCCCTAAAGCATGTACTCCACTCGCCTCCACAAACTATAAGCACCTTCTGTCTTTTCACATCTTAACTTCATGTTTGTGCAAAATTTCTCTAAAATGTATCTGCTGTGGAGGGAAAGGAAGGGAAAGAGGGACCTCAAAGCAGAAAGAGCTCACATAGGCTTCCCTCCACAGGGTTCTTAAAAAACGGAAATGACACAAAACACAAGCAAACTCACAGCTGGAACAAGTGCCTGCCAACTTCTGCATCTACGGCGCTGAGGGGATCGTCCAGAAGGTAAATGTCTGCATCCTGATACACTGCTCTAGAAAACGTAAAGAGATATCAGACAGAAGGCTTCACGCTCCCTGGACCTCATCTCTGAATCATGACAGTGTTCAACGATTCAGATGATGTTCATTCCAAGAGCCAATGAAATGACCCAGGACAAGTGCGTCACACAGCGCCCACAGCGGGTCTGCGTGGTCACCATCCCCAGAAGCAGCCCAAGAAGAACATGCCGAATGACAGCCAAAGTGGGATTTACCTGGCGAGGTTAATGCGGGCTTTCTGCCCTCCGCTCAGCGTGGCTCCCCGATCTCCTATCACCGTTAGATCTCCATCTTCCAAAAGCTCCAAATCCTATGTAGAAACAGGGGAAACAAAAAAAAGACTTAAAATGTGTTCTCCCACTGTCATCCTAAACTTTTAGCATTAGTTCTTCATACACCAAGTTGAGCAACAACGATGGATATATTTCAAAGTGACTAAATTATAACCTTGCACCTTTCAAAAAAACCTCTCAGGACATTGTGTTTGTTTTCATCCTGTAGCTATTCAATGTTTATGCATTTAACCCATTTAACATATTTACTGAACACCAACTATATGCCAGGCATTGTTGTGGGCACAATGAACTCAGCACAGTGAAGAAAACAGTCCCTAAGTTTCCATAATGAGAGACTGACATGAAAAATTAACATGGGCGCAAGTACTAAGTATTAAGAACAAAAAGGACATTCAGCTGAGAGGGAAAGAGAGTGAAGGAGGGAAAGTCCATCTTGTATGGGGTTCCAGAAGGGATCTGAACAGAGGGCATTTAAGGAGGTAGATACCTGTCAGGGGGCAGAGCAAGCCTGCACAGATCTGGATAAAACGTATTCTATGTGGAGAAATGGCCAAGTGCAAAGGCCGTGGGGCAGATGCACATCCACGGTGTGCGGAGACTAGCAAAGAGGCCAGGAGCAGAGCGAGTG